ATATAGGTTAAAGAGAGCAGCTTTATTAGGCATTTGGCTGCAATAAAATGCAGTAAAAGGAGGATACCATCTGCATTTCCCATCTCTCCCCACTGTCTCTCTTTAAATAAAAGCACAAAAAGCCTGCTTGCACCCTTGGGTCCTGTGTTTTGGTTACTAGGAAGCGGCTGGACCTGTGAAGACCTTTGCCACTCCTTGTGTCTCTCTCAGCGTGTCCCCTCCATTGTTCTGATGTGACAGGAGCTTCAGGAGGCCAGCATGGTCCCTGATTTGAGCTCTGTACTCGCTGCCTCACTGGCCATCAGCTGCACATTAATCAGCCAATTATCAGCCCCGGCCAGCAACGTTACTGCGCCAACCTGGCCCCCTAATCCAATCACCTTGGGGGAGTGGGTCAGGGGGTGCTCTGATTGGATAACCCGGGGCTGGGTCGCCGCGCCCGTGACCTGCTGCTTTGAATTGGTAATGATGTTAATATTCTCCATATGGCTGCGTGTGTGTGTGTGTGTGTGTGTGTGTGGACTTCTGTGTCCCAAAGCATAGAGCCTATCCGGAGGCTGAGCTGCACCCCAGAGTTAATGGCCGGTGGAGAGGGAAGCGAGAGCCAAAGTAGCACTATCACCCTCCCTGGGGCAAACCTCTCGATGCTGCCACTTCCAGCCCTCTGTCCAAATCCTCTTTCCCAGACTTGAGCTTCTCTTGTTGGCTGCCGTGCAGTAGCTCTCAGCACTGTGTCCCAGGCTGAGGTCCACTTTCTTTCCATCAGCCTTGCTACTTTGGCATCCACTCCTTCTGCTCCCAAGAAACTCTTGATTTGAGAAGTGGGAATAGCCAGACAGGTCTTGGTAGAAATGAGCACACAATCTGGGCTGCTGTAGTGTAACACAATTTTCCAATACAATAGCAAAGTAAGTAGGGAAGAGGGCACAATTCTGACTTGCTGGACTGTTTTTGTTTCGTGGAATATATCGCATTCTCTGAACCTTTGGGACTAAAATTCCATTTACACTCATTTATGAACATTAAAGACCACACGTTAATGAGGACAACTAAACTGTGCTATAGCATATTGGGAATTAGAACATACTGACAGCGAAATATTCAAATTTCTGCCTGAACACCTTGATTCTGCCTCAATTTCACTCTCATCCTTCTGACTCGAACCTCCCCTCTCCATTCTCTCCATAAGCTCCCATCTGTGAGGTGCTTTGCTACATCTCCTGTACTATCCATGCACTCTCTCTCACACCCACCCACACACACACACATACACACACCTCCTTCACTCCCACCCCTCCAGCTGCAGCCCCAGCCGGCTCCACACAAAGGCAGGCCAAATGTATGCTAATGAGAGCCAGGCCAATGGTGGAGCCGCACTCATTTTGAGAGGAAATGGCTTTCAATAATGGCGGCCCCCGGGGGGATTTTGCACAAAGTTCAGCTCCACTTTGAAAAATGCATTCAATTCACTGCTGTGTCTGCTCTCTCTTTTTCTCCTGTTTTTCCCTCTCGATGAAAAAAAAAAAGGAAGGAAGGAAAGGAAGGAAGGGAGGAAAAAAAAATTCCCGGAATATATTTGTGTCCCCTCCCCTCTTCTCGCCTCGGTATTTATGCTGGAGAGAGTCGGAGGAGTTTTGGGGGGACTGAGGAGCCTTGATTTATCTTTACAGAAACATCAGAAACAAGAACACAGACATGTGAGTGTGAATAGTGTTCAAACTCTTCCTGGCACTTCTCCTCTGCCTTTTTTTTTTTTTTTTTGCTCTTCTGCTGAGGCAATTGTCCCCAGAAGCACGTTAACTGTACTGTATGCATTTCAAGTGGATGATATCCTATGGGTGCTGCGCCTAAAAATACTTCAAAGAGGAGCTGAACAACAGTTAAATAACAAGAGGAAATTTCTTGAGGTAATGAACACAATTTGAACCTCGCTTGTTATCATCATGTCTCATCATATGTGCCAGAGAATTTGACGGCTGCTGCTTTAGAACATTTGTGCTGCCGATTATTATTTATATACTTAAAAACACGGCTTAGGCATTAGAACAATACCGGAAATACACGAAGGATGTGCTGAAATGTCAGAAAACAGAGAGAAAGGTGATTTCCCAGAGCTCAAGATGACGATTCAACAGCATAAAATATTCATTTCACAATAATTGAAATAAAAAAGCACAGAGACCTCACATGGAAGAGGCTGGAACCTGACAATATGGAGCATTTGTGTTCAGTAAATGTTTAACCCTTTGATTCTTACACTATTTTCAGGGTTATTTCACACTTCTACTGTAAAGCTCTTACATTTTTTATTATAAGAGCTAACCATACAAGCTATATCTTGTTATTTCAGAACAGTCTAAATGCGCTAACACTTGCAGACTTGTTTATATGTTCGCCTTCATATCAAGGAAACAACCATAATATGCAATTGTCATGTTTTTGCACCATAAAATGCTAACAGTATCTTTCCATAATTGTATTGGGGAGATTTTGTGGAATCTGCCAATATCAGAACCCCAATGATGGGATATTGTATGACTTAGAAGTTGGGAGAAATGTGTGCTTAGTGCCAAACGGAAATAAGTTTCATTATTTTATTCATTGAAGTGTTCACATACAGAAGCCTGCTTGCAGAGATGGCAAACCAGGCAAATGTCATTGCATTGCATAGATATTAAAGCTCTAAACCCCCAGCAGTTTCTGGGTGCTTCTCGCTCCTGTCACATTTTTTCACACTGTCGGCTCATTTTTCGCTGCAATGTGAAGTTTTGCACCTCAATGGAAACAGCCTAAACTATGGCTAAAAGTAGGAAGAACTCAAATTTCTACTGTGCACTATGGCAAATATCATCCATCCATTATCTATACACCGCTTAATCCTCACTAGGGTCGTGGGGGGCTGGAGTCTATCCCAGCTGACTTAGGGTGAAGGTAGGGGACACCCTGGACAGGTCACCAGTCTATCACAGGGCTACACTTAGAGACAGACAACCAAGCACACTCACATTCACACCTACGGACAATTTAGAATCACCAGTTAACCTCAACATGTTTTTGGACTGTGTGGGAGGAAGCCGGAGAACCTGGAGGGAACCCACATGAAAAGTCCACGCAGAAAGATTCCGGTGCCCCCACCGGGACGCGAACCGGCAACCTTCTTGCTGCGGGCAAATATCATAATAAAAGAAAACACACAAGTTGGATCTCTTGAAAAAACCCCAAAACAAACTGCAATCAACATATACAACATTTCTGCAAGTGCTCCCAGGTTTTAAGAGCAAAGAAAACAGTGGCTCTAAATACTACAGATGTTTTACGACTTAGATTTTCAATACAATTCCATATTTGTCTTCGGTCTGCTCTGTGTAAACACAGCCTGCAGTTCAGCCTAGTTCGAAAGTAAAAAGTCCCCGAATTTCTGTCATATGTGTTGGTCACAGTTATGGTTTGATTGTTGTGCAGACGAGTGGCAAATTTGTAGTTTTTTAGAGAAACCTGTTATTGCAACTGGTTACCTTTTGTCATTTTTTTTAAAAACGGGACATACAGGTTAGAGTGATTTGGATGAAATATCACAAACTTCAGCTTCAACTGAGATAATTTTACCGATTTAACTGCATGTCACAGATGAGCTACTAATGGACCGTTGGAAAGCTGTAAATGCACTGATTCTTACTGTATATGTAAAGCATTTCTACATCATTTTGGCGATTTTTAAAAGATAATATTCTTTTCAAACATGCTGGCAGGGTTTGGGGTTGACAGGGTTAACGTATCTCGGCATTAAAATATCTACGTAATGATGAGCTCATGAGCAATTCAAACAAGAGTAATGAGTTCCTACATGGACGCACACCTGGTTGTAACTATAATTATAACTGATGTAAATTCAAGACAATTCTTTTTTTTATCGCTGACACTTGGTCGCACAGACAACCAACTAGCATGGTTGAAAAGGTCAGGTTGTGCGGTTCCATTTGATATGCGCTACACCTCAGTGCATAAATACTTTGAGAGCTATTTCCCTAAGAAGAGGAAATGTGAATGTAAGGGCTAATGGTTTTGTCCAAATGGGAAAAACCATCCAGGGTAACATCTTCAAATTAACCAAACGAAAATCCAAAGAGATTCAGAAACAGAGAATGTTTGTCCTGTCCTATTAAAATTGTCAGTCTGAGTGGCAGGGATTATTTGGTCTGAGCTGTCAAAGGTCATCCAAATCTCCTGCCCGTCCGTCTCTATTCGCTTTTGCCTCCACAGTTATAGTTGGCTACCCTAACTGTCCCTCTGCTGCCTGGTCGTGTCCTTCCTTCTCTTTGCTTCTCTCTCCCAGATCCTCGGTGTGCCTCGTCCCCCCCTGAGCTCGGTGCTGATGTCTGCGCTCCCTGGTGCCTGTCATATCAGGAGGGGCAATAACCCGTGAAATGACTGTTCTCTTTTTCTCCCTCTCCTCCTCTCCATCCCGGTGTCCCCTCTTTTCCCTCATTCTCCTCCTCTCGCTTTCCTCGCACCACGCCACTCCACGCTCCACTTAGCTGCTGGGCCGCCAACATCACAAAGATGCTCGGCGTGCGCGCGCTCACACATGCTCACACGCGGAAGAATATTCGGTCGCGATTGGACCGATGTGTGTGTGTGCATAATTTGACAGGAGAACAGTTAAACAAACAGAAGTAATGTGCAGTTCCATTAAACCCACACTAGAGGTTATACATCCTTCAAAAGAGCAAACCATCCTCCGTGCGTGTGCGATCCTCCTGCCTGTGCCCTGCTCTCTGGAGAGCTGATCAGTCCTATTCCTGGGATGAGTAGACACTCCCAAGGCAAACACTCCAGATTTAATTATAAGCTCCAAAGAGGATTAGTCTGTGCTGCGCGCGTGTGTGTGTGTGTGTGTGTGTGTTTGAGTGAGTGGGGGAGACACAAAGGGAGGGAGTGGCAAGAAGTTATCCCTTCATTTCCTGCTTTAGAGAAATGAAGCGCACCCAGAGCGGACTCACCTGGGCTGTGTGGGGTACTGTCTGTCTGTTTCCTCGTACAGGTGCTCGGGTCGGGATTCGGCTGCTCTGGGTGCCATCTGTGAGGAAACATGGAAAAGCAATGTCAGTATTTACACTGAACCCATCCATCCATCCATTATCTATACACCGCTTAATCCTCACTAGGGTCGTGGGGGGCTGGAGTCTATCCCCGCTGACTTAGGGTGAAGGCAGGGGACACCCTGGACAGGTCACCAGTCTATCACAGGGCTACACTTAGAGACAGACAACCAAGCACACTCACATTCACACCTACGGACAATTTAGAATCACCAATTAACCTCAACATGTTTTTGGACTGTGTGGGAGGAAGCCGGAGAACTCGGAGAGAACCCACGCTGCACGGGGAGAACATGCAAACTCCACGCAGAAAGACACTCCCGCGAACCGGCAACCTTCTTGCTGCGAGGCAACAGCACTAACCAACTGCGCCACCCTGCAGCCCTACACTGAACCCATGACTCCATAACTCCTGCCTATCCAAGCAGCTTAACCCTGTGCTGGAGATCACACATCTCCTTAGCTACATGCTCAACCTCAGTAATAATTAAGTAGTTGGATGTACATAAAAAATATGCACGATTTTCATGCTGCCCTGTGGTTTCAGTAGAAACAACAGCAACTTTTAAAAAAAACAAGAGCGTGAGGACCCGTGAATGGCCCACATGTGACAACACAAACATCCTCATGTAAGCACTGCGCTGCTCCGACGAACATGTGTGTGTACGGTTCAAGCAAACACGCCAGTCATGTGAGAAAAATGACATTTCGGGTGTGTTTTGAACAGAGGGCAGATGTGTTTCTCATCACACACAACGGCGAGTGATTGATAGAAGCAGCAAAGAATCTGGAAATGCTGTTCACACATGAAAAAGACTTTTGTAACGCGATAGCATTTTGAGCAGCTTTCAACAGGAAACAAGCAAAAATGTCTTATTCCTCCTGGTCCTTCAGGCAAACACTGGATTAAAGACGCTGCAGCTGGACGGCAGATTACCTTGTAGTCACTGTGATTACTCTGACAAATTGAAGGGAAAGTTGAATGAATGGAGAAACAGAATGAATACAGATATTTTCATAGAGGGTCAATGGTTTGATGAATCCAAAAACAACGTGAATCATGCTGTCAGTGTGACGTAAATTTCATCTTTCACCAAAGTCTGCGATGGTCCACACAGGCCCTTTGGTGGATGTCCATGTGCAGCCTGAAATTTATGACCACACCATACAAACAGCACTTAAAACAAATGCTTGCTATGAGGAGAAACCAGTGAGGAGATTCACTTTCATACTTCCTCGATAAATATCCCAGTAGCTTCCATGCAGGCCTCCCGAGGCCTACCAGTCTGCTGCTGCTGCTGCTGCTTGGGCCTTTTCTTTGGTCTGATTGCCAAAGTTTCTTCAACATTTACTTTTTTATTGTATCTGATTGATGTTCGGTCTGAAAGCTGACTTGTTTATCAAGGTGAGATAAATCCTTCATTCTTGTTACTTTTTTAAGTAAATCAATTTGTGTGTTTTTCTTTGTTAGTTCATATTAAAATCTTTACCTGTGAATGTTGCTCAGTTTTAACATCTTATTATTATAAATTTATGAGCTGCTTTTGCCAAGCTCTACTTAATAGTGACCAGATCTTAACCACATTGGTCTATCTCATAACCTTTTGTTTTGTAAAGTTGCACAACAAGTCTTGGAAACAGCTGCGAGGTTACTTGATGAAACACTATCAAACCTTTTTTTTTGACTTGAAAAACACAGTGTGATCTGAAGGCTACCATGTGGCATCAAATGTAGCTGCACGCAAGTGGACGTGGTCTGGGATTCCAACAAAACAGAGGGGTTAAAACAAACCATTCCTGGAGGCAGAGGAGGAGGGAGGCAGGGGGTAAACAGAGACACAGAGGGGGAGAGAACATACAGTTTCAATTATCTGTAATCTAGGTTCTGGCCTGTGAGTTTCCACATACAAACGCAGGCTGTTTACTCAATGAACGTTACTAAGGTCAAACACACCATACAGCGCTGTGCACACACAAGCACGCTGGTCAAATATGCAAAAGCAGCCATATGTACAATAACCGACGAGCACATGTGCACATAAACAAGCAATCACAGGTTTCACATAAACACACACGCGGATATCTAAAGAGGCAAACAGTCACACGTTTGATCCAGGCTATCAAAGCGATACAACCCAGCAAACACCCACATACACAGCATTTACCACCACGTAGACACGCACTAGATTGTGCAGGACCAGTCTATTGCTCTGTTTTGCATATACGTATGAGTTCAAACTCATCCTGCATGTCAATGTAGCAGTGGCGCATTACCAGATATCATTAGCATGTCTCTGTAATGTAGGGAGCTCTAATGTCCCTGAATGGGAGCCAGGAAGTGAAAGCACATCAGAGCCACGGCTGGGGCAAGGCTGCTACTCGATTCGCTAAAGTGGCTTTGTGCCTGTGTGTGTGTGTTTATACAGTATGTTTATGCTAATATTGTGGCAGTCGTGAGGGCTGTGTGCAGTTTTAATATGATGTCAGAGGGTGAACGCTCCATCTTTGGATGGCAGTGTGTGTGTTAGATAGGGGCCATTATGCAAAGAGGTGCATAATGTGAGGTAAAGGGGGCATTAGTCTCAGCAAGAAGCTGGGACTCAGGTGGAAGACCCTCGGTGTGTGTGTGTGTGTGTGTGTTGGACAAGGCGTAATACATCTTCCAAATATGAAGTCGCAGAGTTATAAAAAAAAAAAAAAGGAAGAGAATGATGAGCAGAAGAGGAAATGTGTGTTTGGATAAAATGAGAGAAATTCTTTGTCCATTGATTGTATTAACATAATAGCCTGCAGCCATACGTCTGCATGATCCCTTTATTAACTCACATACACATTATGGATGTCTATCGTATGGATGCTTTTCAGGCGGAAGCCCATTTCCCCTAAATTAGACAGCCAGATGATGTGCCTCGAAATGCTGCTGTGGCGCTACACACACACACACACACACACACACACACACAAGTAAACAAACACGGAAAACAAGTCTCAGTCTCACCATGGCAACTGGTAAAGCAGCAAAATGAAATTCATCCAGGTTAGAGTGAAAATGCAGCAGTCAGACTTCTGAGGAGGCGGTCACTGAGCAAAGAGCCTCGTCTTCACAGCTCCCGGAAAGGTGGAGAGCGATGAAACACACTTTGCTATTCCTCAAAAGTTCACGTCCTCATCGTGAACCCGGTGACATCACACACAAAACTGTGTGTATCCACGGTTTGAGTGTGTGCGCTCCGTGTGTCTGGTTATCAGTGGAAAATGTAATGTCTTGTGCAGACGGTAGCTGACAGAAAGCCAGATTGGCTCCGGACTTCATGGAAAACTACACGGCATGCACATATATGACGGAGAATTTCTTCTGAGTGTCGTGTGGTAAAGCAGAAAGTCTTTGTCAGTCTTGGAGTTCACTGTGTTCGTGCGCCTGCATTTGTGCGTAAGCTAACCTCAAACCTTACAATCAGCAGATCTTCAGACTGCTCTCATCAGGGAAAGCAAATGAGCCTAAGCATAACAGAACAGTGTCGTGTGTCGAGTCATTGCGTTCGCCACAATTCACCAGCTGACAAACGCTCTGACAGAATGGTTGGCATGTGTGTGAGTGTGAATGAGCAGAATGTCACTTTTCCATTTTTCCAAATTAGAAAGCTATGCCTTGACAGTGCCAGATGATACGCATTCAAACACACACAGCACTCAGCTCTAGCAGCACAGCTGTCGCATTCATCACAAAGTATTGCCAGAGCTCAGGAAATGAATTTCTTGGAGCACTTTTGGCTGTGCTGTAAATTTGTGATGCTCATATATACAATAAGCCTCAAATGAGAGTCCAAGTGCTTTGACACAATGCCTGAGCAGCGCTTTCATTCTGACTGAGATGCTAAGATTTGCCTTTTTCCAAAGCGCTTTACTTCACAGTCGCTTTTGAAACGGTATAATTAGCCTCCTGTATTGCCATCCATCCATCCTTTTCTTCCTCCCTCCATCTATCTTGGATGCTAATTAAGCATGTGTCTCAGTGTGGAGCCTCTGCCTGGCACCCCATGCCCACCTCCTGTTGGCAACCTCACCCCATGCCCTGCATCCGACTGGCACGGTGAGGCGGAACCCACGAGATATCCATCCTTCCCCCCCCCCCTCCATCCTCCTCCCTAAAAATCTCTGTGATGAGATTTCGCTGACTCCCCCACGGGAGGAGATAGAACAGATAAGACCAAGAGGGAGCGAGCCGAGCTGGCACAGATAGGAAAAGTGACAGAGAAGCTGTAAATATGTGGCACATGCGTAACGGTTCACACACAAAAAAAAGCAGGAACTTGAGAGCCACAGTGAGTCTAACATCCACTAGTTGCTGACAGCTGAACTTGAATTGCAGAAATATGGAGAAACCAACACGTTCATATATATTTATATGCAGACAGAAAAAAATCACAGTACCTATCAAGAATTTTCCTGCCAAATTACTTAAAAACATTAATGACTACATGCCCTCTAACTGAACTAAATCTAACATTGTACCTCTTTCTCTCTATTCTGGTCATGAGGCTACACTTAGCGGGGGCTTTCCTACCTAAATATTAGAAAACACTCCCCTGTAGCCATGAATTCAATGCAGATGGGCACATTAGTAGGACGTATTTGAGTGACAGTAAACGTAAGATGACTAGTTTGTGTTGGCTTTGTCGTTCTTAGTGATGAGTCAGCTAAATGTCAATACAGCAAAAAGCTTCATATAGGTGTCATCGGTAAATTGTATTTACAATAATTTTCAGAAATCATAAAATAGTGATTTGCTAATGCAGCAGCGAGCTGCACGTAGGACGATCGGTAGTTAAAAATAGTAAAACTAATGACAAGTCAAATTCCTGCTTGTCTCACAACAGAAATAAGAACTGAATAGATTGTTCAGGTTGATGTAGTGTGATCAAAAAGTTCCAGGACGAGTAGTGAAGCGTGTACACAGAATGTGCAACAGTAGCTGCTA